GCAAAAATAAAATAAATAAAAATTTTATTTTTACCTAATAAATCGGGCGTTACTTTTGGTGACTACTGTACGTACATAGTGCAGGTGATATAGTGATAATCATTAATCAAATTTTTTTATAATCAGCGTAATAGTAGCGTAAATGGTAAAAACATATCATATATAAAATTTAAATTGCAATAACTCTTGATAGTGTTTGTTCTCGGTCAAAAAGATGTTACTTGGTTAACCGGCGAGTAAACCCATAGGTTACTCGGGTAATCAACAGATATACCCAGCATAGAGGGCTTTTAATTTAATTGGATGATATCCCAAAATTTGTTAGCCACGAATACGAATTGAAAAGCTTGGGACTCAAAAAATTTTAAAGTGTGTTTCGTTTATAAACTATCAAAGTAATTCAGTAATCCGCAAGGTAATACGGAAGTTAGATGAGAGGTATGTTTGAACTTTTAAATTTAGCCTATAGGTATAATAAAACAATTAAACACGGCAATTAAACAGTCTTTTATTTGTGAAACTTATTTCTCATAATCCCAACTAATAAAGAAACCTGACAATAATATAGGCTAATAATACAGTATGAAATTGTGCGTCATAAAGCTTGTAAATTATATAGAAGAGTTAAAGTTAGTGGTGACACTGTAGCCATATAACGATTATTAAATAAAATTATCAATTTGATATTAGGAAGCACTAAAAATTATCTCTCTTAATTTTATTTATTAGTTGTTAATGTTCTAGAATAGGGTTAAATATTTATTTTTGTATTTATTGCCTTTGTTTCGTTTTTTTCGTAGTACGTTAGGATTTTTCTTTAGTTTGTCAAAATTTTGTCTACGGCAAGGTTATAGCTTTAGACTTAAAGTTATCGAGATTTCATGGTAAAGACTTATGACAGTATTGATTTAATCATGATATTGTTATTTTTATACATATTAGTTTTTTTTTATTCATAATGATTTAAAATTTCGATAAATTTTGATTAACCAACAAAAATTTTACGGGGGTGATCTATAAAAATTGGCCAATTACAATGAAAGCCCTCTCGGGTAAATCTACCCGGTTATTATTCGGGTGAATCTACCCGGGTAGCTCTAATCATTACTCGGTTAACCAGTTAACCGCGGATAACTCGGGTAATACCCGATTCGAGTATAATCTCTACTCTTGAACAAGCCAATCTACACAAATAAAATTATATTTGTCGGATTTATTCTAGTGTGCTCTTTAAAGTAACAACGTCTTTTTTTTTTTTTATTTATTTATATTGTTTAGAGCCTAACGGAGGACTTAATTTTCATGCAAAGTGATCATTTTTGATGTTTTTTAATAAAACATATTTTGAGATGATCGACAAAAAAATTCAAAATTACGGCTATTTTTATTAAAAATATATCAAAAACGACCATTTGCATGGAAATTGAGTCCTCAGTTAGGCTCTAAAAAATATATATATAAAAAAAAAAGACGTTTTATTAAAGAACACACTAAAATAAATCCGACAAATATAATTTTATTTGTGTGGATTGGCTTGTTCAAGGGTTATTGCAATTTAAATTTTATGTTTTTACTATTTACGTTACCACTACGCCACCGCTGATTATTATCAGTTATAAAAAATTTGATCACTATACCACCTGCACTATGTTTGTAATTAGACATTCATGAAACACCCTGTTTTACGCCCTTGCGCATTATACTCTTTTTAGAAAAACGCACATGGGCGTCTTGAAATAGCGCAGGGATGCGTTTTTTCGCGGCTATACGGAATTTTATTTTATTAATTATATACTATTAAGACTTTGTGTTTTTTTTCCCTTTATTAATCAAGTGTCGTAGAAATTCAGCTTTTCAAAGTGCATTAATCTCTAATCAGGTTCCGAATATACTTATCACATAAGAACGATTTCCCACATCCAAAATCTAGATTTTAACAAGCGTTTTAATAACGTGATTTTATCGGTATTTTTGTCGTAAGTGGGAACGGAATTTAAGTTGATTCGAAATTTTTAAGTTTAGAACTAGGATTTTAGTATAACAATAGTTATTCCGTTCTGATATAAGTAGGTTCCGAATCTGTTTATTATTCTATTCTCATTTACAACATTTTTACTGTTTATGGACTTTTCTTGTAATAAATAGGTGCTGAATATCAACGTAATTGAACAAACCTTCATTCCTAAAATCCGAAGTAATATTTATAAGTGCATTTTCATTCTAAAGATATTCACCACAACCAAACCATGCCCCTTCCCTATTTACTAACACACAATTGAATAGGCTAACTTTTGATCACTATTTTTTTAAAAATACGAAATATCATCTCACTGTAAAGTTTATCCATCACTATTTTTTCTCTGTACTAATTCTCACGATAATCTTATAGACAAAAGAATTATTATTATTTCCTATCACACTAGCGCGCTGTAATAAACCAAATTTAATATCAGATATAGTATAAATGCGTAATCATGAATAATCAGCAGAAGCATTGAAAAAAAACAAACTAATCATGAACTTCAGAAAAATCTATCCAAATTTTAATACTCATGAACTCAATCAAAAGGTGATCATAATCACATCTTTTATCTTTTCCTCAATATATCCTCGATATATTTTAACATATTAAATTTTCCTTCTCGAAACACTCGAAACTTGTCTTAAAACCCACAATAATTTCACTCGCGACGAAGCAAAAGTGAATATTTCCTCTTGGATTCATTATGATTCATTTATTATGAAAAAAACACTGACTAGAAAAAAGGAGTTTATGAGATTTTATGCTTTCAAGTTTTCGTTTACAGTATTAACGTTAAAGCCTTGTCTCAAAAGAAGTATTGTAACACTAGAGACTAGGAACTGTATAACTATGATATTTGTTTATATAAACAAATCGGATATTCTACGTAGTGCAATTTTGTCTTAATAGCGCACATGCATTAATTAAGAAATATATATATATGGGTACATAATCTATAAAAGTAGTACATATGTTTTTAACCCGTAATCCATATCAAAATAGTCTTAAACTTTCTTGAACGTTCTAAATTATTTGATTAATGAAAAGCATCATCAAAAATATCGTAAAAATAAAATAAAAATGTCAGTTCTTATAAATACACATAAACCTTATATACACATCGTTTTGTTATTATGCGGTTTCGTTACAAAAAATTCATCAGCGAAAGAGCATTCAAAAGAACACACAAAAAAACATCCAAAAGGGAAAAGAAAGGATAAACAAAAAAAAAAATTACATAGATGTAAAATTGATAGCGATCCATGTAGAAGAGTAAATGAATTATCGGCTCCATGTAATCAAACTTTACCTCCTCCTACAAGTAAAGTTTCTATATACAAATTATCATGTAAGTGTTCTTGAGATTTGCAAATTTCGCCATTCATTTTTTTCACCGATATATATTATACCTTTTTTTCTTTCTGGTAGCTGATGGAAATGGGAATGCTTGTAATTGTAATCAATTGTATTATGATTCTTTAAGTTTTTGTGTTCATTGTATGAACGGTCCAGGTAATAAAGTGTCCATTCAACCATTAAACGAGTGGAAAAATTCTTGTATTCAGCATGGAACCCCATTTACTGAGTTTCCGTAAGCTTTAAATTCCTTCGTGTATTAATATGATTATATGATTCTGTTGAATTATAACTTCATTTTTAAAAATAGGCCATCATATCTAATGCCATCATCTCAATTAGATGGTGGAAATTCGACTCAGATTATGCCACTTTATAACGATAATAATACCACCCTTGACATATTAATTGTAGTCTGTGTGTTTGAAACCGTAATAATTTTAACTGGAATCGGTTTTTGTATATATTACCGACTGTGTTATAAAAATAGAAATAGTGCCATTATACCAAAAAAATCCAATAATTCAAAAATAAGCACACTAAAAAATGATGATGTTTCAAGTACGTCAAATACAGACAATCAGCTAGAACAATAAGTATTATTTCAACAATCTCAACAACAAATTCGTCCGCAAAGATTACCACATGATGAAACAACTCCAATTTGATACCACATACACTGCTTTAAAGTTCAGAAGTTGTTATAATAAATATTCATTATAGTTATTTTGCCATTATGCGGTTAACCTGGAAATGTAGATTTTATTAAACCTGTTTAAAAATTGGTACGCTATTCTGATAGAGGTAATCGAAATTAAATTTGATACTATCTTAGAATTTAAAAAAATTATTAATTTATCTTGTATTATTATAATAAATTTCATTACTTATAAATACTCTTATGTTATTCTAGTAGTCAACTTTTATTTTTAAAATCTTAACCGAATCGTTCTACAACTTGTTTTAATCTTTGATTAAAATTGTTTCCTATACTACTATTTATACAATTATATATAACCACATATCAAATTTTATAATTATATATAATGCAATATCAAAAAATTATAAATTAATTATATATATAAATGCACATACCGAATGCTAACTAGAGATAGATTTGTACGAGATAAATTCAGCGTTATTTCACATATTGTACAACTTGTGCGAGATGCTTATGCGGACTTCTATAAGACAAAAATTATAATTAACAGATGATATAAAATTTACCAATAAAATTTACTGATTGCTATATACGTAATTTTACTATTCATCAAATTTATTCTGAAAAATATTGTCGTACCTGGGTTACATCCTCTCTTATTTATTTAATACCTTAGTAATATTCCCATATTTAGGCAAAATAATTTTATTTTTATTTTTATTTTGGTTTATAAGATTACCTGTCAATATACGAATAAAAAGAATGCGTTAATTTTAAGTAGTATATTTTAGAGTCATAAAGAAAGTAATTACCAATCTTTGTAAACGCGTATTTGTTCCGCATCCTTCATGTGTCATTCGTAAATCATCAAGAGATTACTGTTTTTTTTTTTTTTTTAAAAAAAAAAAAACAACTAAGGCCACGCAAAGTTAATTTTTCGTTTTGCATAACCCGCCGACCCATTTTTTCAAATTTTCAAAATTTTTTTTTT